TGCCTATGTCGTTGCAGGCAGAGTGCCTGCTGGTAGGACGCTGTGAGCGGAGGACTCGACTAGAGAGAACAGAGGCGACGACATAGCGTTGGGGGCAGAGGGTTGGGGAGATGGTGAAGGTAGGAGGTAAAGGAGTGACGAAGAGAAATGCGTCATTATATGCTCTCGATCTTCAGCAGTTGATTACATAAGCAACTATAATATGAGTCGTCAACTGATAGAACATTTCAATTATTGTATTTAGGTATAAAATAAAATAATTAATCTACTTTGTAATATAGTAAAAAGTAATATGACATGTATATAGCTTTCTAAACACACTGATGTAATTATTACAAGTAGATGAAATGCTTTTTACAAATATTGTAAACTATTTGTATAGATAGTCTAAGTATGATATACATATTATATACTTATAGTATACTTTTATTAAGATAATAATGATATAACAAGTGCTCTTACACTATTATATACATTAATATACCTTTTACATAAATTATAAGGCAACAATAGTTATTGTTACATTATTATATTGTAAATATTACCCTTTCTTTGAAATTATAATAAAAATGTAATGCAAGCATAATACTTTAGGCTATTATACAAAGTTAGTATAATACTTGTAATAGATTGTATTCATCCATAACACTTACTTAGCCTTTATATACATTAACATGTCTTATACAAACTTTACAATTGATTTGCAAGTCTTGTAATTACTTTACAATATATATACAATACTTATGTTACATTACAAAGTCTACAATATATTATAAGAAATGCGACTTTTTCCTGATGACACAGCTTCGCCTGCAGCCCAAATCATCTCGTTCAACGCTCCGGATCACGACCCCGGTGCACCGCTCACACTCGCTACACGCTATCGCGATACATCCATCTCCTCGCTCCAGTTAGCCACTCACGTTAATGCCAATACTCACGCTCACACCTTTAGCCAGACAGTCTCACAACTTCTCTCACAAGCGCAACCTCAACCTACACAACACGTACAACCTTACAACTGGTAGGCACACGCAATTCAACTTGCAGGGACCGAGCGACGACTAAGTCTTAGTGACTAAGACCACATCAAACGACCCAAGGACGCATTCATTGTCTTCTGTCGCGAATGCTGTTTGAAAAAGAACGAGGCAGAGGCTGCACTACCTGCAGAAGGCGACCTG